ACACACTCAGCCACTTTATATTTAACAAAGGGGCAAAGCATGTTCACTGGAAGATACCTTTTTAATAAATGGTGCTGGAAAAATTGGCTTTCTACATGCTGAAGACTGAAATTAGGCCCATATATATCACCATGCACTAAACTAAAGTCAGAATGGATCAAAGATCTAAATATTAAAACAGAAACACTGAATCTACTGGAAGACAAGGTAGATAGAAATCTTGAAGACACAGGAATAGGAAAAGAATTCATGAACAAAATGCAAACTGCAAAGAATCAACAACTAGGATCTCGTCTTATTAAAAAAAAGTTTTGCACTTCAAAAGAAATCACCAACAAGGTAAAGAAAACGCACAGAATGGAAAAGAATGTTAGACAGCAGTCCCTCAGACAAAGAACTTATATCCGGAACATATTGAGAAGTGAAAAACATTAAGACCCCAAATTGAAAGACCCTCTCCAAAAATAGGCATCTGAGATGAACACACATTTCTCAGATAGAGATACACAAATAACAAATAAATACGTGAAGAAATGTTCCCCATCACTGGTCATTTGAGAAATGACAAATTAAAACATTGACATTCCATCTTACTCCAGAAAGAATGGCCGCTATCAAGAAATCAACTGATAACAAATGTTGGTGGGGCTGTGGGGAAAAATGAGCCCTTCTGCACTGTTGGTGGGTGTGGAGACTCCTGTTTATAGCAGCACAGTCTGTAATAGCTAAATCTTGGAAACAACCAAAATACCCATCAACTACAGAATGGATGAAAACGATGTAGTATTTTTATAAATGCAATATTACTGAGTTATAAAAAGCATGATATTGAACCTGTTATAGGTCAGTGGAGACAACTTGAGGCTATACTCATAAGTGAAATTAATCTGACATTTGTAACTATTGTCTCCCTTATGTAAAAAATAAATAATAAAAAACTGAAAGAGTAATAATATCCAAAATGTACAATGAATATTATAATAATGAATGTGGAAGTGCTCAAAAGAACAACCTGGAGGTATACACATATAACTGTATGTACGTTTAAGTGTATAAGATAGATAACCATACTACTAATTCTGTTAGTTCATCAAAAAAGAATAGTTTGTGCTGTCATTGTTTTTCTGTTCATTTATAAGTTTATATTTTGTAACTTGAACAACATTTAAGATAACAGTATGTAACAAATTAACTAGTGTTGATTTCTTACTATTAGTTTTTGGAATTCTCTTATTTCTACCTCTTTTTTTCTGCTCTGCTTTTCAAAAATTAAAAAAAAAATGTACAGGGTAAATATTCCCATTCCAAAAAGGAGGACTTGGGCAATAGCAGAGGACTGGATCAAAGCAAAACTGAAACCCAGTAGGACAAACATTACATCTTGTGTAACTCCATATTTGGCATCCAGAGTGCATGGCAGTAAGATGTGAGTTCTAAAGGGCGTACATAAACTGGGCATGGTGTGCACATGTGTAATCCCAGCACTCCGGAGGCTGAGTCAGGAGGATTGTTGTGAGTTCGAGACCAGCCTGGGTTTCAATATGAGCTCAAGGTCAGCCTGGACTGTATAGCGAGACTGTCTCAAAAAAGACAAAAATAAATAAATAAATAAATAAATAGCGAGCTTAGTTAGTCCCACATGTATGGCCTCTCTCTTGGGCTGGCTCCCCTCACTGCCTGTAGCTTTTCTTGCAGACATCCCATGCTTCTGGCATTTCTGACTTTTTAACGTCTCTGCTGCATCTTCAGTTTCATTCCCACAGCTTCACACCCCACTCTCCTGGTGGCACACCGTCTAGCCTTTTGGACCTTCCATTCAAATCTTGGTGGAAACCTGCCTCATCTCACAACTCCTAGATTCTGTATGCCTAAAAAAAAGCATCACATGGACAATGCCATCTGCTTCCACCATGAGCAGTAGCTGGACCTCCTTGGACCATGCTTCAGGTAATTTCTGGGTGCCTTGATGACTGTAAGTGGTAAAAGGAACTCCAGGCAATAAATCTGCTAGGCAGCTCTTTCTCGCTTAGGGCCCAGAGTCTATTTTTTCAAAGAAAAGGTTTATATTTTTGCATCATTGAACCTGGAATGTATGGAGTCTTGCTAATTTCTGAGATGCTTCAAGGCATCTTACTTCTAAGTTCAAACTATGTTGTTTCTTTTTAGTGACACTAATCTCTTCAGTGATCACTTTTTTGGCTCCAACTTTTCAAGTGATTCCTTTTGTGCCAAAATTGAAGTTTTTCAAATATTTCTATTCTCATTTTTTACTACCAATTGTCACTACTACACATCTGGCTAAAAGCAGCCAGCAGTAGTCTGCCACAGTCAATGCTGAGCTGCTCTGAGATTTCCTCCCTGTCTTTGTCACTTTCCTCACCACTGGGACAAGATGCCCAACAAATGCAACTTAAAGAAGAGGTTTATTTCGGCTTGGGCTTTAGAAGATTCAGTCCTTGTACAGGAGGTGGCGTGGTGGGAAGGCCTGGTAGAGGAAATCTGCTTGTCTAATGAAAGGCTGGAAGTATAGTGAAGCATGGAAGGGAGATCACTGAGCTAGGTCATAGCCCTGTGACCTACCTGTTCCGGCCCCATGTTCCCATTTGTCAGTACATGAAAGCCTTGGGAGACATCCCATTTCTTAGCTATAACATTCCCCAATCAGTTAGTCCACCACCTTTAAATTTAGCTTCACAGTCTTAGGCCATGGGCAAAATGTGTACCTTTTAAAAATTTTTTATAGAATGTAACATGCATGACCTATAATCTAATTCTCAGTACAGTCATCATTCCAAGCTGCAATCTTAGGGGGCTTTACCGTCCACATTCCTATCAGTATTCTGGTCCTGTGACCTCTCACCAGAACTGGTCATGCTTTACTAATCCCCTAGATGGCTCACGGTCCAATCCAACTGACAATCCAGTTTAACCAACACATTTGCTTTTATTTACCTTTGGTAGGATTATTCTGACGTTCATTTCCTTCAGTGTGGAAACTCCTCTGAGTGATGCTGTTGCTTCTCAGTGACAGCAGCCAGGCTGTCACCCTGGGGTGATAGTGGTTCTAACATGCTCATTATTTCTTTTTCTGATCTCTCCATTTAACTGCCTGCCTTCTTTGATAATCACACCCAGCTATTAGCGACTAATTGCTAGCTAATGGTTTTGTCATTTTGACAACACCTTGAGACACAAATTGCTGCACAGTCTCATCCTTTGCAGGGACAGTTTTTAGTTCAGTCTTCTGGGAAGTTCTGACTCCTCTATGGTTCTTACACACAACTTCCCTGTTTCTCACTGGGAGGCTTGTTGCTCTTAGGAAGCTACCAGCTTCTTATTTGCTCATCATCCAAGATGTCTACGGTGTTCAAGAGCACCTTTAGGTTTGGATTTTCCCAGTCTCTATCTCTCTGGAAACAGCTTCTGACTTCTTTGTTCTTATGGATCACCCTCTCTCCCCACAGAGAAAATGTGTGCACATTCCTTAGGGAGGATAGGCAGATATCCCAGCTGCAATGTGTACCCTCCAAGATTTATAATTACAGGGTTTCTGCCCCAAAGTACAAACCTTATTGTATTAACAGGTGAATATCTGGTCTTTTTGAATAGTGCGTGTATGTGTGGTGGGGGAGAACTAGTGCATGGGAAATTGGCATTAATACATGTGTTCTGTGAGAATTCCTTGAGAAATTTTTCACCTGTATTTTTAGCAGTAAAACGCCAGCAAGGGGGGGGGGGAGAAAGAAAAAAAAAAACCTGTAAATATACTATAGATCTTGTAAGACTCCTCAGTTTGTCCTCAGCATCAAATATAATCATTTGAACTCTCATCTGAAGATAATAGCTACTAAATGTAAACAGTCATTTTTCTGTTAACAAAAGTAATCGGACTTGTTTATAAACCATCATGAAGTGGGAATGAATTATGTAGGAAGTCGTCTGACATTTCACCCCTAAACGCAACCAGTTTTGCATTCAGTAGCCTCTTCCTCTTGAGGGGATGCTGAATGCAGAAATAACATTCTCACAGTTTTATTTTGGAATAGTTGGGCAACAGTGTAGTGTGGCAGGGACAGGCAGGTAACAGGGAAAGTGGAGGAAACCCAGGCAAGAACTGAGACAGCAGGATACGTGGGAGAAGGAAGAGATTACAGAAAGCTAAAAGCCAAACCAGCGACATCACTCTTCCTACTGCTTTGGCACCGAACCGTTCTTTCCTTAGTCCCCCACTTAATGAATGGTATCAGTCTCAGAGACTCCGGAGTCCTAGAGGGGCGGAGTAGCGTCGCGCGGGCACACAGCGGAAGCTAGGCCCTGCGTGGGCGAGGTTACCATTGCGAACAATGTGTGCCTGCCCTTTGTACCTAACAGTAAGCCAGGTGGTCTTAACATAGTACAGGAGATTTAATTTTTGGCCCCAAGCTTTTCTGTATTCTGAACACTTGTGACCTTTCTGTCCTACATGATTATCGCCTCCCAGAGTCTTAGTAGCTAGCAGACAATGAATTAGAAATCTAAGAAAAAAAAATTCGGACCAACAAATCACCTGGTAGTCTCCACATAATTAATTAGCATATCTCAAAGTGTATTATTTAAAATAAACTAAGTGGACATATAAATCAACGTTATTTTAACTGGATAAGGGATACATACATCTGCAGTATATATATATGTATGTATATGTATATGACCCTGTCTGTCTACAGTGTCCGTAGACCTCAGAATGCTTTTACCGAGGGCGGCTCACCGCGCAACATAAACTTGAGGACCGCGCCGGAAACAAAGCCGCGCAGCCCCGCCGGCCCGCGCCGACCCAGCGCCTCGCACATGCGCTCGCACACGTAGGCTGGGGCCGCAGGCCGCTCGGGTGCCGGGCACACGCGGCGGCCACGCGGGGCCGCAGCCCCGGGGCAGGGGTTGGGTGCGCGGGGCGTGGGCCGCGGGCGGGGCGGGCGCTGGGGAGCTGCGCCCGAGCACGTACCGGGGCGGGGCCGGGCGCGCGGGCGGGGTCGGGCGGGAGCTGCGGGCGCGCGGCTGGGGTCCGACGTCCTCTTTTAGCAGGCTGGCCGAGCAGCCGGGCAGACTGTGCTGCCCGCGGTTTGTGGGTCCGGCCGCAGCCGCTGCCAGGCACCTGTTTCTCTCTCCGTCCCGGAATGGAGCCAAGACAAGGAATAAAGGAAATTAAATAGTATATGGAGATCGGGTGTCTGGGCAGCGTCTTGGATAAAAATCATCCATTACAGGTAAGAACAAAACTTTTGTGCAGATCTCTGAAAGGTGTGCACACAACAGAGCTCCAGAAGGCGTTTACAGGACGGTTTGCGGAGAGGTGTAGCGTTTATCTCAGGGGGAGCGCATGTCCTATCAAACTCTACAGCACTGCACCGTTCTCTGTGAAATGATATGTGACAGCAGGTTCAGCGCTAAAGGGAAGAAATAAGCAAAGTGGTTAAAAGCGGAGTTAAAATAATGACCCCCCAAAAAAGACTTTTACTTTGTTGTTGTTTGGTGTCTAGCTAGCAAAGGTTTGCAATGCCTTTATTTAACCAGATTCTAGAATTTAAAAATCTGTATTCTTTCAAGTTGTTTTGGACACTGCTGCATTAAAACTTGAATTTTTAGACTTTGTTTCCTAAAAGTAACTTTATTTTTCAAACCTCTTCAGGTTTGTTGGAGAAAGTTAAGTTTTGAGGAGCCTGTGAAGTTATACAAACTGAAACATGTACTGTCCTCACAGAACCACAGGGACATTCAGGGTCTTTTATAGTTCGGGTCCCTGGCCTGCGCTCCCGCCTTTACTGGGAGTTAATACCTTCGTAATTTGCGATCTGAATCTAGTTCAGACTGAAAACCCACCAACTAGCCCTTCAAAATCCTTAATTCCTTGCCATTTATATCCTGCCACTTGTCTTAGGATGTCCTCTCAATGTCCTGTGGTCTCCCTACTTTTAGGTGACACTGGTCCTGTTTTGTCACCTCCATTGCTTTCTCTTCCTTGCGATGAAGAAACAATGGGGAAACAAGTTTTACTCAGTGCTGCATTACCGGACTGGACTCATTGATGGCCAACTCAAAAGCTCTTGAACCTTAGGCACCTCTCCAAGACTTTAAAGTGTACAAAATGAAACACAAAATTGATTCATGGGGAAGGGGTGATGACGTTGCGAGGTAATGTGCAAAATGCTTAGCACAAATTCTAGTATGTACTACTGATGTACTACACAGATGTCAGGGTTTTTTAGTATTTAATCTGTGAACACTGTAGCTCCCCCAGTATTTGTCTCTCTCAGTAACTGTTTTCAGTTCTAAGCTTAACAGTTGCTTTGAACAAATGAACAAAATATGCTAAGCATCTTTGCTATACTTCTGTAGGGTGAAAGTAATACTAGTCATTCATAGCAGCACCAGGGAAGAGGGAAGTTAAGCATACACTGGGAAGAAAGCAGTGTGAAGGAGAGCGCACAGCTGTTACACTCCTCGGCTAAAGGCATTATAGATTTGTGGTGGCGCTGAGAAGTTTAGAATAGCATTAAATACTCAGATAACTTGTTTTGAGTGATAGAGCAGTTGGTACTTGATTTTTCCCCGATGTTCTGTCCTGCAATATGGCTTTCTCTTCTAAATCACTGCTCTCAAGTCATTTACCAGACTCCTGTTACATAATCAGGTCTTTTACTAATATTTGAAAACTGTATACAAAGTTCAAGTTTTCAAGGGAAGCTAACTTGCTAATAAGCATTTTTATTTTGCAATCCAGTACTATTAAGCAACTACTTTATTCTGTAAATGTTACCTCTAGAAGTATATTACTAAATGTGGAAATACTTTTGATTCCTATTGTGCCCCTAAAATTTCAGATTGAAAATTTAATATTGTTTGGTTCTCAAATTTTCAGGTGATCACATATTCATCCTAACACACTCATCCTAAGAGATCTGTAACTTAGCTTATATTGTTCAAATATGTACCTCAACAAAACCTAATGCTGTGATACTGCCTACGTAATTTGTCACTAAAATTTGTCTGGGGCTGGAGGTGTGGCTCACTGGAACAGTGCTTGCTAGTACGTACAAGGCCCTGGGCTTGATTCCTAAGCAACACCACCACCACTGGAAAGAAAGCAAAATGTTTTTTTTTACCTATAAGTGCAGGGATCTACTATAGTTTTTCCATTTTTAACTTTTATATATTTATAGTATGTCAGTTTTTTTTAGTGTATGTGCTGCCAAAGCAAGCACCCATTTTTAAAAAAGAGAATGTAAAGGAAATACAGCTATCTTTTAAAAAAAAGAATAAAGCTAATTTCTTTAAAGAAAACAGTATCAAAACAAAAAGGAAAAAAGGCTCATTCTAAGTTTAATGTTAAATCAGAAGACCTAAATTAAATCTTTGCTCTGCCATTTTAGGGATTGGGCAAATCATTTCAAGCCTGTATCTGTTCATCTGTTAATGGAAATAAATCAGAAATTTTAAGAAAAAGTTCTGCCCTTAGGATATTATGTTTGTGATTTGCTTCATTCATTCCATTTATACTGAAAATAATCATTTTTGTTTTATGCTTTAATAAGCTCATAAATTTATAAATGACAAGTATCTTTTCTAAAAACATACTCTTTACAATGCATATCATGTTTTTATCATTTAACATGACATTTAGGAACAGCGTACATCAAGGGGATGGCAATAAGAGAAATGTAGAAATGTACAATGTGATTTTCATAAAGTACTTAAATTGTTGGGAAACAACTTTATAAGGTGACAGTATTTAAACTATAAAAGCTGATCAAAGGGGGCCTGGTCCACAGAAGATGTTTATTTGATGTAACAAAACAATACAGTTAGTGTTAGACCCAACCACAAAGAGAGCAAAGGAATGAAAAATTTGTACAATGTACACAGAAAAAACAAAATGTTTACTATGACAACTATATATTCCTAAAATAATGCTTCTAAATTACTCAATTATTGAAATCTATAGGAAAAAGGATGTTAATAGCGACAAAGTGCATAAAACCAAACATTGTATTTTGAGCAAATAAACACACTAGGCGATTTTACTAACAATGCATGATTTTTTGTTTATAATCTGCTCAAAATATATACCAACAGGGTGGGCAGAACAATGAGGTTTAATATCAAGTACACAATATTAGCATAAACTTCCACAACTACATAGGGTATTACTTTCTTTTTAAGCTGGCAAAGTAACTACAGAAACATCAAATGATTTCTCTAAATTGAGAATTTTATCCAAATAAATGCCATTTACCTTCGAGATATATGCATCTTTCTATATCCTGTAAATGGCTTTCCATTTAAATAAACCACACAGCATTTAAGAATCATTATTATAAGATTAACAATGTCATGTTCTAGGTTTAACAATTTCATAGGCCAAAAAAAATTTCCTCTTAAAAACTAGTTTTATAAATGCAGAATATATTGCATGAGTAACTGCTGGTACATATTTTTTAAGAAAATATATTGTGCAATTGTGGCTACCATATACTGCTGGCAAAGCATTATGTAAAATGTGAAAAAAAATGAGTAAAAATTTTTTTAACTGCCTATGATCATGATGAAAGGTTACTGTCTTCTTAAAAAATTATATTGGCTTCTTATTAAAAATAATTCAGTAAGGGACAAATTCCCTAGCCAAAAATAAATAAATAAAAAGGTGCATTTTTAAATGATGCTACTGCAATATAATGGTTTAAATACCAAAGAACTGCGAAAATGTGCTTTCTGTGATCTCTCATTAAAGAACATATTAAAAAAAGAGCATAAATGGAAATTAAGTAGAAAGGGGATCAAAACTGAACTATCCACATTGATGCAGTATTGTAGCCAGGCTTCTAAAATTAGATATAGAAAATATAAATAGACTGCTTTAGGTAATGAGCCACCAGTGTCCAAAGGGGAGGAAAAATAAAAACAAAAACCAAACAAATAAAAGGAATGAGATTATGAGAATGCTCAGTTAACTTGATCCAAAGCTCTGAGTAATTCTTCACCCTGCAGTAGGTTTCTGCTGCCTTGTATAGGAGCATTAACTTCACAATCGTAACTGGTCAGCTGTGGTAATCCACTTTCGTCCATTGACTGCCCCAGTAGTCTACAGGCTAAATCTGAAAAATAAAGAGACACCTAAATTTTCATTTACTAAACACCCACTCTCTGCTAGGTAATGGGAAAAATATGTGAACTTCACGGACGGTTTTTAGAATATGGGGCAAAAACCAGACAGCTATGTCAATAGTAGGCGCAATCAAATGTTACTGGTGCTGTATCAGAAATGTTTGGAGGAAACATGAAGGCACAATGTCATAAATCAACTTCAAATAAAGTTCTGGCTTTTATCAATACTGACAGCACATAATCATAGATGACAATAAAATTACCAGCAAATGAAAGTATCATTTTGACATACCAATTCCTCTATTATGCCCAGTAGGTGAAATGCTTTTATTTTTAGTCTTGCTAAGAACAAAAATCATTCTCACTTGGAGTAAAGCTCCTACATATAGAGGTATCACATTATCTGTCCTTACAATATTCAAACGAAAGAAAGAATAAACTAACCAGAGGGTATTAAAATAATTGTCTTTTGTTCCATTCCACTCTGTTCACTAGATTTGCATCCTTTCACACGTTTCCAAGAAAGTGATGTAGTAACTGCACGGTCATCTGGTTGCTGTAGTAATGTTCCCTAGAAAAAGTGAAATTATTTTAAGTTTAGTATGTTAAATTTTGTTAATTAAAAACTTTGCAATTAGTGTAAGCTTAAAGCCATACTGTCCTAGATTATTATTTTTTGAAATAGGATCTTTCTATGCAGTTCAGGCTGGCCTTGAACTCCCTATGTAGCCCAGGCTGGTGATCCCCCTGCCTCAGTCTTCTGAATGTTGGGATTATAGACATGTGCCACCATGCCTGCCTCCTAAATCTTTAATTCTTTCTCTTGCTATGCACTATTGGTACAAATACTTTGCAATTAATTCGGTCTGAAAATACCAGTGTGTATTATACCAGCCATTATTTAACCTAAAACAGTGTTTCCATTAAAATAAGAAAGTAACAGAGAAGAAATAAGACTGGTGGTGATTCTGAGAGTGGTGCAGCAGGCAATCTTCACTTTTCCTTCAAAATACTTACACACTACTTGGAATTTTTATACCAACAATCTATCCATTACATGTATTTTTAAGAACTAGTATATACAAAGTAAAAAATGTCCAATATA